TACTACAGTTTTGATGGCAAACAATGCCATTTTAAAGGTTTATTTAAAGCAATAGGCTCAGAATCCCCAAGCAAACTCTTAAGTATCCAAAGGGCCAAGACTGAGATCAATGTTTCTTTCTTGAATTCCTCCAACACTCACTCTTGTGTCCACTAATTAAAGACCACCAGGAACACACCTGTAGTAAATGAACTGAGCTTTCATTCACTTACTACAGCAAGAAGGAGTAAAGTAATTGGAGAATTTTAAGAAACTGGTGGATACTTAGTATACAACTTGAGTTTGTTTTGGGCGATTCCAAGAAAGGTTTAAGAAAATGGGCCAGGCACGGTGGCTCACGCCTGTAATCCCAGCACTTTGGAGGCCGAGGTGAGTGAATCACGAGGTCAGGAGATCGAGACCATCCTGGTCAACATGGTGAAATACTACTAAAGATACAAAAAATTAGCTGAGCGTGGTGGTGCGTGCCTGTAATCCCAGCTACTCAGGAGGCTGAGGCAGGAGAATTGCCTGAACCCAGGAGGCAGAGGTTGCGGTGAGCCAAGATCGCGCCATTGCACTCCAGCCTGGGTAACAAGAGCGAAACTTCGTCTCAAAAAAAAAAAAAAAAGAAAGAAAATGGAGGCCAGATTTGGATTAGGAACTGTTGGGTGGTGGGGGAAATTCATTGATTATCTTGGCAAATTTAATCTAGAAGGCAGAGGATTAAAACTAAGTTGGAGTCATCATTGGTAAAGGAGCAATCACTTACATCAGTCATAAGAGAGGGAGGTTTAATTACTTCTATGGTTGGAGAGGGTCCTTGTCTCAGTCTTGTTTCAGACATACTCAAGAAGTAGGCTTGTCTGATTATTTATATTCTTCAAGAGGTATTTATGTTCTGTTGGGAACATTGTGGTCTGTCAGCTGCCAGGACCATTTTTCACTTTCTCAAAAGTTATTCAAAAGATAACAGAATAACTTATAACTGTTGAATAAATTTCAAATTTATCCTAAATCTAATGATAATGTAAACTTTGACTCACAATTTATCATTTCAACTTTCTGGCAGGCACTGCGCACATGGAACAGAATAAGACATATTGGTCTTTGACACAGGTCCATGAGCTCAAAGTCCAAAGAAAAGGCAAATGTCTAGGCTGATGCAATACAAGCATGAAAAGTGCCCAAATATAAGTATGAAAAAGGTGCTGAGCTGGTGCAAGAAACAGGGTGTTCAACTCCATCTGGAGGCGTGGGTGAAGCTTTCCAGGAAGACATGCCACCTGAGATGGATGTGTGAGGATGAGTAGGAGTTGGCCAGTTGGAAAAAGGAGGGTGGAGGATGCCATTCCAAACTAGACACAACCTAGGTAAAGGTGTAAAGCAGCATAATGAGTTGAGGAACAAAATATAAATCAATGTTGCTAGAGAAACTATTCAAAGCATTCAAAATATTTCCAGGATATTTTTGAATATAAGGTGCTATTTTGGCACCCCTGAAATTGCACAGCACAGAAGGTGAATTTTGTTCTCAGTTAATTAAACTGAGTGTTAAAGAGAAAGTAAATCATACCAATACTTTTACATATGGTCCCCCTCCAGAAATGGAGATGAAGTGGAAATGGAATACGAACCAATTCAAAATAACATATTGACGTTTATATGTACTTCTCTTGAGTATAATGAATTAGAAAAAAATTCAGAAACTTTAACCTAAAATTGGAAATCAAATCCCAACACATGGAAATAAAACCAACAACTTATTGTATCATCTTTCTGTTACACCAAGAAAACTCAGAAATTCAATGACTATTATATAATAGAGTAATTCTCTTATCAGGGCAAACACACACACACACACATACACACACACACACTCACTCTCTCTCTCTCTCTCTCTCTGTCTCTGTCTCTGTCTCTCTCTCTCTCTCTCTCTCTTCCATTGAGGACCTAGTCTTTAGATAATTTATTCTGGAAATCCAATGGCCTTAATGTTAATACTTACTTTTCTATAGTTCCTCAAAAATTAATACATTATAAGTATTTAAGGTAACTTCACTTCTTTCTAGTTTGAAATAGAAATGATTCATCAAGTACTTATAAACAAGCATTGATGGTGAGAAAGGAACAGACTGGGCAACACAATTAAATAGTAAAAAAAAAAATCTAAAAGTCTAATTTCACTAAAAAAAAAAGACGAACAAGTGCTACAATCTGAATGTTTATATCCCCACAAAATTCCTATATTGAAACTACCCCCAATCCCAACAGTATTAAGAGGTAGGGACTTTGGAAGGTGATTAGTCATAAGTAATCCACCCTCCTAAATAGCATTAGTAGCCTTATAAAAGTGATGTGAGGTAGGCTTTTTTGTCCCTTCTGCCATGTGAAGACATAGAAGGTGCCAACTATGAGGAGCAGGCCCTCTCCAAATGCCAAATCTGCCAACACCTTGATCTTGGACTTCCCAGTCTCCATAAGTGGAAACAATAAATTTCTACTGTTTACAAATTACCCGGGCTAAGGTATTTTGGTATAGCAGCCAAAATGAACTAAGACAACAACTCGCTAATATAGGGAAAAAGTATGAATAAACCAACAAAAGGAAACGGCAAACAATTCACAGTGGGATATAAATAAGTGTTCCACAAACAGATTTAAAAACGCTCAACTTTTCTATTAAGAAAGTACATATGACAACATGATTTTTTTTTACTATTTAGATTGGCCTAGGACAGGAAAGCACAGTATTGGCAAAGAGGAGTTGTTTCTCTTTCCAAAATACAGCCCCTGCCTAGGAAAAGTTCAACAGCCATTTGAAAAGACAAGGTGGCAATCCTAAAAAATATTAAATATTAAAGTTACTGATATCCTGTGGCCTAAAAACTCTACTTGTAAGAATTTATGCAACATAAAAAAAGGTGTAAAAGTAGGCAAATAAATTTGAAATTCATTGTAGACAAGAGAAAACTACCCAATATCATCAAAACAAATCTGTTGAAATGTATATTACAGCCATAGCTCACATATACATAAAATGGTATTTCACACAGCTACAAAAATAATGGTATTATTGTTTACACGCTTATATAGAAGAAGTCCTCTGGTTTTTTTTTTTTTTTAAGGAAGAAAAATCCAGTGGTAGAAATACGTGTGTAGAATAAGCCCATTTCAATAAATTAGTTAATACATAACTATTTGCATAGATCACAGAGCCAAAAACATGCATATGCTGTGTTCTCATTTTATTTTTATTTCAGGCAGAATTTATTTTGCTTTAAGAGTAATTTCTGGCAACAAGATATAAAGGGAATGTAACTCCTCATTCCTGAAATCTCTCCAGTATCTTTTGATAAAAATGTCAGTACCAAGGTTGAATAAAAATGTAACAATAAATCACAAGCCATACTTTAATGGCATAAAAAGGACTTTGGAAGAAATGAAGATGTCACTATCTTTTTTTTTTTTTTTTTTTAGCTAGAAATGCCACATGGTGGCTTCAATACTGTTTGCAACTGCAAAGTACCTTCATGAAAATAATTTAATTGCTCCTGACAGGCCTCATAGTTGTCGCTGAATTCCATCCAGCCATGCCATGACTAACATTACAGAGGAAAACCAGTAAAAGGTCACACACGTGGTTTGGGAAACCTTCAAAATGCAGTGCCCATATCTTGGCTGATAGGAATTTACAGTACCATTGTGTTTTCAAAAACGATCGGAAACCTTAGGAATTGTCACAGTTATCACAACTACATATTTCAGCAAAGAAGAACGGAAGACACAGGTAACATGAACCAGGAGGGCAGAAGGTCTGTACCCCTAGCAATGAAGCAGGCACAAAGGCATAACGTGAAACAGTCATGGAGAATAAACAAAACAGTTGAAGTTGCACAATTAAAGTATAAAATTCAACATTGATTGCAAACCACCTTTTAAAATGTGTAGACCTGTTTTATCTTTAAAACCCTACTCTGTTTTATCCCTTTTACCAAAATTCTGTCAGTTCACCTATTTTATTACAAATGTATTTTCTTCCTTCTGTATTCACACTAAACTATATTCTGATGTGAATGCTACAAAGAGGAGGCCAGGTAACTGAGGCGCTAGGCTGCAGGAAATGTGGTAATGGGAATCCAGTGCTGTGAAGACACTATGGATTCTAATGGGAATCCAGTGCTATACACTATGGATTCTAATGGGAATCCAATGCTACGCTATCCTGATATTAAGCCCACTTCTCTAGTTTAGCATTTCTCAACTTGAGCTACTGACATTTTGTGCCAGATAATTTTGTGTTGAGGGGGCTGTCTTCTGCAGAGTAGGATGTTTAGCAGCATTCCTATACTCAACCCTCTAGATGCCAGTAGCACCCTCTCCCAGCGTAACAATGAAACATGTCTCCAGATATGGCCACATGATTCCTGTGGGATAAATTCATCTCAGGTGAAGAACCACCATTCCAGAAGAGAGCTTATAAATCCCAGTAAAATCTTTAATGGATCTCGAAAAAGGATAAAGGAAAGAAAGATACCAAGAAGAACAAGATTAATAAAAATAAATCTAGGTTGAACATTTTTAAAAGACAAGACATCCAGCAAGCTTCTGAAAGTCAGGTAAGGAGTTACCCACAATTGCCTTCCATTTTGAAGAAGATACCTAAGAACCAAAAGCAGTTTGACTTTCCTTATATAAATGTGTTGGTAAATCTTTACGTCTTTTTTGTGACCAGACACTCACCATTAAAACTTATATGCTTGCTTCTTACAGAATGAACAAGATTACTGTGCCTTGAATTTTGAAACCAAGGTTTATATCCAAACTGCATCACTTACAATTCAGTGGCCTTCAACAAATTATATCATCTTTGGCATTAGTTATTAATATATATAATGCGGACAATAACTCCTTCATGTGGGTTATTGTATGGATTAAAAGAGATTACAACAGGCATCTATTATAATGTCTATTACAAAACAGGTAAATAATCAATATTTTCTCCTTTCCTCTTCCTACAGTTTAACAGGCAAGAAACGAACTGCAGATAGATGGGATCCTGGGATGTCACCACGGGCAGGGGGACATAAAAGCATCTGTTCTGGAAACAGGAAAATTGAGGAAGAAGGAGCCCAAGATAGCAGACAGCAGCAGTCACAGAATCAGGCAAGCAAAGAAATATCAAGACTCAGTCCAGTTGTCACCTGGTGTTGAATAACTGGGTGTGTTTTACTGTTTAATTTAGCCATTTTTCTTACTTTCCTTTTTAAAAATTTTGTAAAACTTTTGTTTCATAAGAGATCTCATGGTGCTTTATATTAAGGAGTTATTCTTGATCACATAACATTATCTTTGCATACAGTATATTTTAAAATGCTAATGAAAATGTTGTATCCAGTATCTATGACTAGTTTTTTAAATATAGACTTTATTTTTCAGGGCAGTTCCTGGCTCACAGCAAAATCAAGTGGAAAGTACAGAAAATTCCCATACGCTACTTCCTATACACAGGCACAGCCTACCCAACTGTCAATATCATATCAACTTCAAAACCTGTTCTATGGGCCTTGAAAAATGTATAATGACATATATCTGCCATTATACATCACACAGAATGATTTCACTGTCCTAAGAATCCTCTGTGCTCTGCCTATTTATCCCACCAAGAAAGAATGAGAGTTCTGACTGCTCCATGTCTTCATCAGCATTTGGTGTTCTCAGTGTTTTAAATTTCAACCATTCTCATAGGTAGATAGTGATAACTTACTGTTCTAATTTGCAACTCTCTAATGATACATGATGTTGAGGATCTTTTCATCACATGCTTATGTGCCATCTGTATATCTTCTTTGGTGAGGTGTCTGTTAAGATCTTTGATCCACTTTAAAATCAGGTTGTTTTCTTATTGTTAAGTTTTAAAAGTTGTTTGTATATTTTGAGTAACAGTTCTTCATCAGACGTGTCTTTTACAAATATTTTCTCCCAGTCTCTGGCTTGTCTTCTCTTTCTGTTGATGTTTTCACTTTTTTACTTACTTTCTCACCTCTCTATTCCACTGAAAATGTGTTTTCTAAGCTAAGGGAAAATATCTTCAAAAAAAAAAGCTACCAGATATATTTGCTTATTAAGGCTTCAGAAGATAACTGAAAAGCTGAGACCATTTTCGTCTCTGGCCCTGATACAGAAGAAAGAGAAAAAGGATTGGAAAGAACAGCTAGTTTTCAGCAGTTACAAGAGAAGCAAACAAGCCAATACCTGGGCCTTCAGAAGAGAAGAAAGGGGAACTAGCTGGAGATCAAGAAATTAACCCAGGCTCAGGTCCTCAGTCTTGCTAATAGGCTGCCAAATATGAGATGTCTCACCTGTAAAATGTGTGTGAACTGTGTGTGAGAACACAGGTGTTCAAAAAGGATCTCAAACGTGCATGTTTGGCACTATCTACAAATACAGTTATTCATGTAGAATGAGATACACTGAAATACTGAATATTTAAAAATATACAGTCTTTTTATAAACTTTGTATTGTTTAAGTATACTGGGGAACCAAAATGGCTCAGGTCTCTGTTCTTCTCTGAGTGGTTGTATTTAGACTATGCTCTCTCTAGCCACAGCAACTATTAGTATATTGCATATAACTTATTCAACTCTTAGGGTGAATTTCTACTCTCAGCCCTCAATTAACATTCACCAAGTGATTATATTAATAATATATTAAAAAGCATTAAGGCGAGGGGACTCAAGATGGCGCTGTGAGAACAACCCAGGATTGGAGCCCGCGTTGAATTCGCAAACGGTGAGTCAGTGCTGCATTTCCAGACTGATCTTTGCTGCCCACAGAACGGGGAAACTCCCAAGTATAAAAAGACACGGGACGCCAGGCAGTAGGTCTGCCTGGCGAAGCCGGCAGCCGTGGCGGCGGCGGCCGGCCCTACCCAGCAATCCCCACAGGGCGCGCTTGTACGGGTGCCTTGTTGAACCGGCAACCTGAGACTTGAGAGGGCTGGACTTGAGACTGAACGAGACTTGCACAGTAGCCCAGCCCAGGGGATTGCAGGGACAGATCGCTTGGGAAACCCAGTGGGACGAACAAAACCGCGATTTCAAACTATCCCGGGCAGACGGTCCGAGACGCTCTGTGGGGGAGGGGCGTCCACCACTACGGAGGCAACCTGCCCCAACTGATATACACGCCCACTGCTGAGGCAGCCAGCCGTTGCCGAGGCAACCCGCCCCAACTGAGATACACGCCCACTGCTGACGCAGCCAGCCGTTGCCGAGGCAACCCGTCCCTACTGAGATACACGCCCACTGCTGACGCAGCCTGCCGTTGCTGAGGCAACACGCTACAACGAAGAGACTCCGCCGCAGGGCGTGGCGGAGACCACAGCAGAGCCGGCAGGAACAGCGCGAATCACACAACAGCTGGGCGGAGCCTCGGCAGCCAAACAGTGGCTAGTCTGCCTTCGAGCTGGGCAGGACACCTGATCGGACATCCAAAAATAAAGCCCAAACCCCTCAACACAGAGCATTTGAGGAAAAAAAAAAGGGTTGTTTAATGAGCTGTGTTGCAGCAGAATCAAACATAGCAGCCTAACAGCCCTGAATGAACGACAGAGTGCACAGCTCAGCAATTAAACCCCTATAAAGTACAAACTGTCTCCTCAAGCAGCTCCCTGACCCCTCTATATCCAAAAGACTGTCATTAGGCAGGCATCATCCTGGGACAAAGAGAGCAGAAAAAGAAACTGGTAGCATCCCTCGCTGTGCCACGGCTACTAGAGGTGCACCCCAGACAAGCAGGGTCTGGAGTGGACCTCAACAGTCGTACAGCGAAGGGGCTAGACTGGTAGAAGGAAAACCAAGCAACAGAAATACTTCACCATCAACATTCTGGGTGTCCACTCAGAGACCCAAACGAAAAGTCAGCAACTACGCAGACGACCAGCGGACAAATCCACAAAGATGGGAAGAAACCAGCGCAAAAAGGAGGAAAACACCCGAAACCAGAACACATCGCCTCCTAGAAAGGACCAAGACTCCTCACCAGAAAGGGAACAAAGCTGGACGGAGAATGACCGTGACGAAATGACGGAATTAGACTTCAGAAGATGGATAATGAGAAACTTTTGTGAGCTAAAAGATCATGTATTAAATCAATGCAAAGAAACTAAGAACCTTGAAAAAAGATTTGAAAAAAGATTCGAGGAAATGATAACAAGAATGGATACCTTAGAGAGGAATATGAATGAATTAAAGGAGCTGAAAAACACAATACGAGAACTTCGCGAAGCAAACGCAAGTTTCAATAGCCGAATTGACCAAGCAGAAGAAAGAATATCTGAAGTCGAAGACCAACTCAATGAAATAAAACGAGAAACCAAGATCAGAGAAAAAAGCGCAAAAAGGAATGAACAAAGTCTCCAAGAAATGTGGGACTATGTGAAAAGACCTAACCTACGTTTGATAGGTGTACCAGAAGGGGACGAAGAGAATGAATCCCAGCTGGAAAATACTCTTCAGGACATCATCCAGGAAAATTTCCCCCACCTAGCAAGACAAGCCAACACTCAATTGCAGGAAATACAGAGAACACCACAAAGATATTCCGCAAGAAGAGCAACCCCAAGGCACATAATCGTCAGATTCAACAGGGTTGAAATAAAGGAGAGAATACTAAGGGCAGCCAGAGAGAAAGGTCGGGTCACCCACAAAGGGAAGCCCATCAGACTCACAGCAGATCTCTCGGCAGAAACACTACAAGCCAGAAGAGAGTGGGGGCCAATATTCAACATTCTTAAAGAAAAGAACTTTCAACCCAGAATTTCATATCCAGCCAAACTGAGCTTCAGAAGTGAAGGAAGAATAAAATCCTTTGCGAACAAGCAAGTACTCAGAGATTTTGTCACCACCAGGCCTGCTTTACAAGAGCTCCTAAAAGAGGCACTACACATAGAAAGGATCAATCAGTACCAGCCATTCCAAAATCACACTGAATGCTAAAGAGCTTCAACATAATGAAGAATCTACAACAACTAACAGGCAAAACAGCCACTTAGCATCAAAATGGCAGTATCAAATTTACACATAACAATATTAACCCTAAATGTAAATGGACTAAATGCACCAATCAAAAGACACAGACTGGCAAATTGGATAAAAATCCAAAACCCATCAGTGTGCTGTATCCAGGAAACCCATCTCACATGCAAGGATACACAAAGGCTCAAAATAAAGGGATGGAGGAAGATTTACCAAGCTAATGGAAAGCAAAAAAAAGCAGGAGTTGCAATTCTCATCTCTGATAAAATAGACTTTAAAGCAACAAAGATCAAAAGAGACAAAGAAGGCCATTACATAATGGTAAAAGGATCGATACAACAAGAAGAGCTAACGATCCTAAACATATATGGACCCAACACAGGAGCACCCAGATACATAAGGCAAGTTCTTAATGACTTACAGAAGGACTTAGACTCCCATACAATAATAGTGGGAGACTTTAACACTCCACTGTCAATACTAGACAGATCAACCAGACAGAAAATCAACAAGGATACCCAGGGCTTGAACTCAGACCTGGAGCAAGCAAACCTGGTGGACATTTACAGAACTCTCCACCCCAAATCCACAGAATACACATTCTTCTCAGCACCACATCACACCTACTCTAAAATTGACCACATAATTGGAAGTAAAGCACTGCTCAACAAATGCAAAACAACTGAAATCATAACAAACAGCCTCTCAGACCATAGTGCAATCAAGTTAGAACTCAGAATTCAGAAACCGACCCAGAACCGCACAGCTTCATGGAAACTGAACAACTGGCTCTTGAATGTTGACTGGGTAAACAACGAAATGAAGGCAGAAATAAAGAAGTTCTTCGAAACCAATGAGAATGAAGACACAACGTGCCAGAACCTCTGGGACACATTTAAAGCAGTCTCTAGAGGAAAGTATATAGCAATAAGTGCCCATATGAGGAGAATGGAGAGATCCAAAATTGACACCCTATCGTCAAAATTGAAAGAGCTAGAGGAGCAAGATCAAAAAAACTCAAAACCCAGCAGAAGACAAGAAATTACTAAGATCAGAGCTGAGCTGAAGGAGATTGAGACACGAAAAACCCTTCAAAAAATCAATAAATCCAAGAGCTGGTTTTTTGAAAAGATCAACAAAATAGAGAGACCACTAGCCAGATTGATTAAAAATAAAAGAGAGAACAACCAAATAGATGCAATAAAAAATGATAAAGGGGAAATCACCACAGATTCCACAGAAATTCAAACCAT